TAATTTTTGTATTTTTAGTAAAGACAGGGTTTCACTATGTTAACCAGGATGGTCTTGATCTCCTGACCTCATGATCTGCCTGCTTCAGCCTCCCAAAGTGCTGGGATTACCAGCATAAGCCACGGCACCCGGCCGGCCCCACTGCTTTTAAAAAATTGTTTAAAGTCCTTGGGGCGGTGAAGCCTGACTCTCTGGTCTCTTTCCTGACCACACTCAACTCTGCAGTCTACTGCTGTCCTCTCCTGTCAACTTTGTGCCTGCATAGGCTCCTCCTGGAAAAGAATGGTCTCTGCCCGCGTGCCCCTCTTCATCTGGCTGACACCGGGTATCAGCAGAAACAGGGAGCCTTTAATTTAACTTTTTGTTAAGAATTTTTTTTTTTTAATTTTGAGATAGTCTCACTCTGCTGCCTGTCAGGTCCCCAAGTCCAAGCCTGGCCATTATAGCCTTGGTGACCTGCACGTACACCCCTGGATGGTCCCCAGGAGCCAGGAAGTCTGAAGTAACCACGAGTAACCAGGGGGCCACAGAAAGAAGTGAAACAACTTGTTCCTGCCTCAACTAATTGCTCTCTCCCTGCAACCTGCAACCACTGTTCCTGCTCAGGCTTGCAAAAATTTCCTCCTGGACACTGAGTTTCTCAAAACCCCCACCCCTGTAAATATGTAATTTACAGCATCTTCCCTTCTGCTTGCAACCAAAACCCCCACCATTATGATCATGCCTGTTTGTAATAAATAACCTCTACCCTTGTAACCATGTATCCCGTGACGCCCTTCCCCTCCCCAAGATAAATTCTCACCTTTAACTGATCATTTGCCACAGTCTATATAACCAGTCCCCTTTCCTACCCCCTTTGCCTAACTCTTTTTTTTTGGATTTGGCCCGATTGCACCCAAGCACGAAATAAACAGCTTTGTTGTCTGCACAAAGCCTGCCTGGTGGTGTCTTTACACAAGTGACGCACCTGACATTGCCTATGCTGGGAGTGCAATGGCACAATCTCGGCTCCCTGAAGCCTGGATGTCCTGAGCTTAAGCAATTCTCCCACCTCAGCCTCCTGAGTAGCTGAAACTACAGGCACATGCCAGCATGCCCAGCTAATTTTTTCTAATTTTTGTAGAGATAGGATTTCACCATGTTGCCTAGGTGGTCTTGAACTCTTGAGCTCAAGCGATCCTCTTGCCTCAGCCTCCCAAAATACTGAGGTTACAGACATGAGCCACTGCATTAGGCTGAAGAATTTTTTTTTTTTTTTTTTTTTTTTTTTNTTGAGACGGAGTCTCACTCTGTCTCCCTAGCTGGAGTGCAGTGGCACAATCTTGGCTCACTGCAACCTCCGCCTCCCAGGTTCAAGCAATTCTCCTGCCCCAGCCTCCCGAGTAGCTGGGATTACAGGCATGTGCCACCACACCTGGCTAATTTTGTATTTTTAGTAGAAATGGGGTTTCATCATGTTGGTCAGGCTGGTCTCGAACTCCTGACCTCAGGCGATCCACCCGTCTCAGACTCCCAAAGTGCTGGGATTATAGGCATGAGCCACCGTGCCCAGCAAAGAAATTTTTAAACATGTAAAAAATGGGAAGGAATAGTCTAATGAGCCCAACATACCCATGACAGCTTCAACAGTGATCGCTATGAGGCACAGCTTTCATTCACACTTCCACCCACTCCCACCCGTGCCTTCCCTCTCCTCAGAGTATTTGAAAGAGAATTCTACACATCATTTTACCTGTACTTCCAGACATAACTCTAGATGATAAAGACTCCTTTTCACAAAAGCAGAACCACAACATCATTATCGCACCTATACAATTTAATGACAGTTTCTTAAATCATCAAATATGCCATCAAAATTCATGTTTCACCAAATTATTTTATGAATCTTTTAAAAATACAGTTTGTTTAAATCAAGATATAAAGTCCATGCATTGTTTTTATTTATTTGTTTGTTTGCTTATTTTTGACTCAGGGTCTGGCTCTGTCACCCAGGCTGGAGTGCAGTGGCGTGAACTCGGTTCGCTGCAACCGCCGTCTCATAGGCTCAAGCAATCCTAAGGTGCACCCCACCATGCCCGGCTAATGGTCGTATTTTTTGTACTGATGGGTTTTCACCATGTTGCCCAGGCTGGCCTCCAACTCTTGGCCTCAAGTGATCCGCTTGCCTCAGCCTCCCAAAGCGCTGGGATTGCAGGTGTGAGCCACCGTGCCTGGCCGAAGTCCACACATTGTGTTTAGTTAATATGCCTGTTCGGTCAATGGGCTGTAAGCCCCTCTCATGGGGCCTTTAAGCATCATCCCAGGATGAATGAGTATTTGCTTAGACATACGTGTGTCTTCTATAGACAGTGGGATTAAGGCATGTTTCCCCCTATGGACCTGGTATCCAATATGTGCTCAACAAGGGCTGGTTGAAAACAGGAATTTTTCCTCTCCACCCCACAACAGCGGCACAGCCCCTTTCTCCTTAATACGATGGTGACACCGTTCTGGCATTTGGCCTTTGTATCCCTCAGATGCATCACAAAGTTCCAAGGCTCCAAATAAAATTCAAGACTCCAAATGTCCCAGCGGGAAGGCCCCTTATAAGGCCAGCAGGTGCAGGTAAAATGTGGCTTCTTGACGGACTTGTGAGGCTGAAATGCTGCCCTCCCATCTGAGACAGAAGAGTGCCGAAAAGCTGTTGGGGAGCAGGCAGACTGATTCCAAGACAGAGGCCATCGGTGGAGTGAGGTGGGGTAGGGTGGGGTGGGGCGGGCCGGGGGGGAAGGGCAGCCAGGCTGCTGAAGATGCAGACAGGGACTCGGAGGTCAGCTGGGCTCTGAATTCTCAGCAAACCTCTGGATCCCTAGGGCAGGTCACAGAACTGTTAGTGACAGGACCAAAGCACCCAATCAGGTTTTTCTGCTACAAGAGACTCAGGTCTCACAGGAGGATCTGGAGTGCTTCATCCACGCCACCCGCTTCCCCCCTCCCCCCAGCAACCTTGGTGGAAGCTTTATCTGGTCTGGACCTGGAGGATGAACTGGGACCTTTGACTCCCACCCACTGAGAGGCCGGCTCCTGGGAAGGCGTGGGTCAGGATCAGCTCTATCTGGTTCTCTTGTTTGCTGCCCATCTGTAAAAGCTGAGAATGGCAGAGGGCGGCCGAGTGTAGATGTTCAGGTTTTAGCTTTTTTGGATTTTCCTGCTTCTGCTGTACAGGAAATAACTTATTGTCTAAACACTATACCATCCCATTAAATGTCAGGACTGCCGTCTTAGAGAGGCCTGAAATAGCTCATGACGCTAAGTACTGGAAGTCCCAGGAGGAAAACCCAGCGAGTGGAATCCAAGACGTTCTCACGTGTTCGGAAACAGGACCATTACCAGGATTCGGACAAGGAACAGGGAGGTTCGGTTTGTGTTCCAGTTCTGAGCCCTTGACCTCGTCTCTCGAGAAGCTGGCCTTTGCACCCCGGAGCCAGCGCTGCCCAGCCGACCACGCCATGCGCGGGAGGCGACCAGGACCCCACTCGCCTGGCAGCCCAGCCGGAGACCCAGCTGCCTGGGAGAGTCCGAAGATAATGCCAGGCAGCGCTGGAGGGCCAGAAAGACCTTCTGTCCCTCCCGCTTCTCGGCTCTTCCATTCGTGGAGTCCGGGACAGGCCTGCGGTGCACGAAAGCGCGCAAGGGTGGGTGGGGGACCTGCTGCCGCCCAGGGAGACGGTGCTGTGTTCTTTGGGAACCGGGGAAACGGTCCTCCAGTCTTCTTGCCCAAGGCGGGAGCAAGAAGATTCTCTCTGGGCAGAGATGACGGAAAGCCGGTGCGGCCAGAGGGTTCTCCCTGTCGAGGGTAGTGGTGGGGGGTGGCCACAGCCCGGGGGCTCCGGCACGAAGCCTCGGGGGTCTCTACGTAGCCTCCACCAACCAGCCTCGCCGGGAGAGTATGGATACCCGAGCGGCCCCAGGAGAATCCTCGGGGACTGGAGGGCGGACGGGCAGCGCCCGGAACAAAGGCCCGCAGAGGGGTCCTGGAGAGAGCGGCTCCCCGGGGGCGGCTCCCCTCCCTCTCCTCCCTCCCCTCCTCTCCCGTCGGCTCCTCCTCCTCCTCCCCTTCTTCCCCCAAAGGCCCGGCCGGCGCGTAGCCCGAGCAGCGCCAACTTCGCCAACGGTTCCCAAGTTGCCGGGCGCGCAGGGGTGGGAGCTGGGTGGGGTGAGGAAGAGGAGGAGGAGGAGAGCTCCCGGGCGCCTTGGACGCGGTTCAGGAATCCGCTGCCGCTCGCCGGCTCGGGCTGGAGCGGGGAGGGCGCCGGGCAGGACCGCTAGCCCGCTTGCTGCGCAGGACGGCGCCCGCCTGGCGCCGCTTCCCTTCCCGCGTGCCGACCAGCCCGGCCGCGCCTGCATCCCTCCTGCCCGCCCCGGGGAGGGCGCACAGCCCGGGCCGCGCGGGCGCCGGGGCCGCGGAGCCGCTTCTGCCGGGATCTTCCAAGAGGAAGGCGAAGTTGCGAGCGGATGCTGCCCGCGCCGGACCCCAGCCGCGGAGGGTCGGGGCCGCCAGCGCCGGAGGAGCCTCAGCGGCCGGGGTGAGTGGGGCGCCGGCGTCCGGGAACTGCAGCTTCGGCCGGGGGAGGCCGCACAGCCGGGAGCCCCCCGCCTTCCGGGTACGGACTGGCGCGCCAAACTTTGGAGGGAGAAGGGGAAGAAGCAGAGGGTGGGAGGGTGAGTTCCCAGCTCGGGGAAAAGCCCAGGCAGGCGCCCACAAACCGCTGCATCCGGATCACACCTGCCAGGTACACACAGCTCATCGCCACTCATGCCCCGCACACGCGCAGGCCGGTCTGCGCACACCCACACCGGCCAGGCACGTGCCACACACCGAAATGCACATTCCTTGGAGCACTGGGGGATTTGGCCTCCACACCAGGCACGTCCTCACACCTCTCCAGCACATCCACGGCCTTTGTCTGCTGCCCCGGCAGCCCCCAGGGAGAGGGAGCCCCCAAAGCGCAGCGGGCGGGAGAGAGGCTTCCTGGGCTTTGAAAACTCACGGCCAGAACCTCGAGACCAAGGGTGGGGGGAGCAGGCGTTGCAGTCGGTTCTCGGGGTTCAGCAGGAGCGGATTTGGTGTAGAAACTCGGTGTCTGGGTGATGTGTCTGGGTGTGCGAAGCCCTTCCGGAGGCGAGGCCCGGAGAGAGGAGGGAGTGATTCATAAACTCAGAGCCGGCGTGCCAGGGTCTGTGAGCAAAGGGGAAGAGGCTGGTAGGCCTTTGCTGCGCTAGACAGCAGGATGGTGGCGGTGACAGTCTTCCAGGGAAGAAGGGTCCGTACCCTTCCCCCCAGCGGATGTGTTACCTCCAGGACATCCAGGGGAACTGAATGAGGAGATTCCAGCCCTGGGTGTGGACGGGGGAAAGGGAGGTGGGCGGATTTAAGCCTAAAAGGTTAGGGAGAAGCCAGGGCAGGCCCGAAGCCTTAATTATTTTCCTTGCACCTGAACTTGTGTTTGGTTTCTGATGCGTGGTGTTCCTGGGCCCCAAGATGTACCAGGGATTTTGCTGGGCCTAGCATAGTGCCTGGCACAGCGGTCACTCAGTCAGTATTTGCTTGATGAAAATGACACCGGTAATTGACATTCTTTATGGACTTACTGTGAGGCAAGCCCAGTGGGCCTCTGCTGGGTTGGACGTGGTCTTCCAGCAGAGGAGGGGGCCTGAGTAGCTCCTCGCAGTCCTGCCTGATCGGTTTGGGCCAGTGGCCCAGGCAGTGTGTGTTCCACTGTGTCCTGTGGGCTGCCCTTGGGGGACTTGAGCTCATCATTGGCCTCTGCCCCGCTAAGAAGGCAGCAGGAAAAGTTTCATTTCTGTATCTGGCTAAGGTGAGGTTGTGGGTTTTGGTAGATGGCAGGCTATTTGGCAGATTCTGTGGGATCTCCATTGAAGAATAACTTTAGATCCATCAATCTTCCCATCTCCTGGCTGCAGGGGAGAGGGGTGGGTAAGTGGAGAAAGAGATGGGCCAGGCTGCTGGGCATGTGCTGGGGGCAGGAGGAACATGGGAACATGTAGAATTTGGGGGCAGCTGCTTTTCTTCCTGGCTCCTGATGGCCTGGCTGGAGATGGGTCTCATGAAAGGTCTAGCAGCTGTGTCCTGCAGCAGTGGCTTGGCTCTGTGGTGGCAGCAGGTGGAGGGGTGGTCACAGTCCCTGTACCGAGTATTGCTGTGGGTTCTTCTGTGCCAGCTTGCATGAGTTTTCCAGAGGAACAGAAACATCCATGTTTCCTGGAACTGGATTGCCGGTAGTCTTGGGATTGAGAGTGCACGAAGATGTGGGGCTGGCCTGGGCATGTCATTGAAACGAAATGTGTCATTCCCCACCCCTGCCCCCTTGTGAAGAGCTCTGACTAGGTTCAGTGTGCATTTCAAACTTCTAAATGCTGAAATTAGCAAGTCATGTGGGTAGTAGCACCAAGGACTGTGGCCTCAGATGAAAGAGGAGGGGATCTGGGCTTGGCTACCCCCAGTTTCAGGTGGAACCTTGCAGCCAGTTCCTTCCCCATATCCCCTTTCCACTTTCATTATGCCCTCTGTGAATCGAGAGCTCTGTATACGTTACTTAAATAAATCATTACATCCCTATGAGGTTAGTATTTCATCTCCATTTTGCAAACTAAGGGTCAGAAAAGTTACGTAAGTTTTTCAACATCACACAGCTAGTAAGAGACAAAGCCAGTTTTGTGTATTTGTGTGTGTGTGTGTGTGTGTGTGTGTGTGTGTGTGTTTAGACAGAGTCTCGCTCTGTTGCCAAGCTGCAGTGGCGGGATCTCTGCTCACTGCAACCTCCGCCTCCCAGGTTCAAGTGATTCTTCTGCCTCAGCTTCCCGAGTAGCTGGGACTACAAGCTCGCGCCACCAAGTCCCGCTAATTTTTGTATTTTTAGTAGAGACGAGGTTTCACCATGTTGGCCAGGATAATCTTAATCTCTTCACCTCATGATCCGCCCACCTCGGCCTCCCAAAGTGCTGGGATTACAGGTGTGAGCCACCATGCCCAGCCATGTTTTTTTTTTTTTTTTTTTAACTTAATGTTAGGTTTGGGGTACATATGCAGGTTTGTTACATAGGGAAATTGCATGTCATGGGGGATTGGTGTACAGATTATTTTATCACCCAGATAATAAGCATAGTACCCAATAGATAGTTGTTGAGTTTGGTTTTGTTTTCTTTTGTTTGTGTTTGTTTTGAGACAGGGTCTCTTGCTCAGGCAGGAGTGCAATGGCACAATCACTGCCACTCACCAAAGCCTCGACCTCCCAGGCTGAGGTGATCCTCCTGCCCCAGTCTCCCAAGTGGCTGACATCACCATACCTGGCTAATTTTTTAAATATTTTTTGTAGAGACAGGGTTTCACCATGTTGCCCAGGCTGGTCTCAAACTCCTGAGCTCAAGCGATTTGCCTCCCTCAGCCTCCCAAAGTGCTGGGATTACAGGCTTGAGCCATTGCAGAGGCCCGTGATAGGTAGTTTTTTATCTTCATCCTCCTCTCTCCCTCCACCCTCATGTAGGCCCTGGTGTCTGTGGTTCCCTTCTTGGTGTTTAGATGTACTCAGTGTTCAGCTCCCACTTCTAAGTGAGAACATGCAGCATTTGGTTTTCTGTTCCTGTGTTAGTGTGCTCAGGACAATAGCCTCCAACTCCATCCGTGTTGCTGCAAAGGACATGATCTTATTCTTTTTGTGGCTGCATAGTATTTCATGTTGTGTATCTACATTTTCTTTATCTAGTCTACCGTTGATGGGCATTTAGGTTGATTTTATGTTTTTGCTATTATGACCAGTGCTATGATAAACATATGTGTGCATGTGTCTTTATGGTAGAACAATTTATATTATTTTGGATATGTACCTAATAATGGGATTGCTTGGTGGAATGGTAATCCTGCTTTGAGTTATTTGAGAAATCGCCAAACTGCTTTCCACAATGACTGAACTAATTTCCATTCCCACCAGTAGTAAACAAGCTCCCTTCCCCTCCC